TCTATTCTTTGTCCTCGCCTTCCCTCTGGCAACTGAGTTTCCTCAACAAGGCTTTTCTCATCTTTAACAATTAGTGTAGCGGAGGTCTGGTCAGCTCCAAACTTGTTGGTGGCTCTGCAAGTAATGACACCGCTATCTCTGGAATAAGCAGCTTCGTAGTCAAGACTGCAATAGCCAAACTCACTGACCATGCGTAGTCTGTTAGCAGCTTCCAGTGGCTTGCCATCATGCAGCCACTCAACAATCATGGTTGGGTCACCAATAGGGGTCAGTCTGCACTCAAAGTGTGCAGGTCCAAATCGCTTCAGCCTGACTGAGGTAAGCTTCTTTTTGAAGTGAGGCTTCTGTTGCTTCTCCTTATCATAGAGGTCACCGTCTTCCCATTGTTCCTGACCATAGCGAAGATGCAGTGGCTCTAACTCTGGTGCAGCAATTTCTTTGGCCTTGTAAGTTCCCTTGGGAATGATAAGCTTTTTCTCAGGCTGAGGCATTACTGCATCCACCTCAATGTTAACTTTGCAGCGTGTGGTATCTCTGCCAGCTTTGTTGATAGCAGTAGCAGTGTACCATGCGCTATCAGATCCTGTACATGATGGAATCTTGAAATGAGCTTCGCCTTTACCACCCTCAATCCTAATAAACAAGTAAATTCAGTTAACTGTAATACAGAAATGTATTTTTTACAGCATGCACATCATCACAGAGAGTAACATTTTGATTATTTACTTACACCTGTATATTTTCAGTATTGAAAACTTACCTAATATGTGGGTGTTTATGTGGGGAGATTATGTCACTGTTCTTCAGCCAAACAACGTCAGGAAGGGGGTTGCCAAAAGCTTTAACAGCTAGCTCAACCAAAGTACCCTCTTTAACGCTGATGTTTCTTAGCTTTTCCACAAATTGTGGTCTCACCAAGTTTTCCTTGGCTAAAAATTACAAAAATTGAATATTTCATTAGAAATGCAGTTAGAATGCTTTAGAATGCAGCTGGCCTGAAGTGACTGTTTTAGAGAACGTCCTTCTTTAAATGAAACTAGTGTATGTAGCATCGTACCTTCAACAGTGAGAGTCATAGATACGGTAGTCTTTCCAGCTCTGTTCTGAGCAACAACTGTCCACTCTCCGGAGTCCTGAGGCATGGCAGGAACCACAATCATTGACTGAGTTCCATCCTCCTTTACCACAATCTTGTGGGTATAGTCATTGACCACTTGTTGTCCTGTGATGAAAAAGTACAGTTGTCATGCTATGGCAATAAAAGAAATTCCACTGTTTTAAAACCTCCTACGCAACTGGGATATGCAGATCACTAACCATTGTGGAACCAGTAAGTTTCAGGCATGGGTCTTCCAACTACTTTCAGATCAAATCTTGCAGTCTGTCCCTCAGAGCACTTGAAGGATGATGGCTTCTGTACAAACACAGGCTTGTAGAGTCTTTCTAGCTGGGCCTCATCTGTCTCATCAAGTCTTCGAGCAGGTGATCGACCAGGAGAACGACTTGTGGAGCGTGGTGACGTGGACCTGAAAAATGCAGTATTTTTAATATCTTGATCTGATAAGTACTCTTATTCTAATATTATGTACAGTAATTTGCTGTAGTGATATTACTAACTATATGATTTTCTCAGATTCGTTCTTAGATCCTACCTGATTCTTTGAACTGCACCAGGCTGAGGAAGCTGGGTTTGTGCTACATCAGATGGCTCCACATACAGCTTTCCAGAGCTGACAGTACTTCGAGCAGGTGATCGACCAGGAGAACGACTTGTGGAGCGTGGTGACGTGGACCTGAAAAATGCAGTATTTTTAATATCTTGATCTGATAAGTACTCTTATTCTAATATTATGTACAGTAATTTGCTGTAGTGATATTACTAACTATATGATTTTCTCAGATTCGTTCTTAGATCCTACCTGATTCTTTGAACTGCGCCAGGCTGAGGAAGCTGGGTTTGTGCTACATCAGATGGCTCCACATACAGCTTTCCAGAGCTGACAGCATTACCCTTTATGTTACTGACCAAAGCAGTGTAGACACCATCATCTTCTGGCAGCACCGTAGGAAGGCGCAGACTGGCTCTACCATCCTGCAGAACCTCCATCTGATAACAGTCTCCATGTGTGATGCGCTTACCATCTTTGTACCAGACGATCTATAGTTCAAATAATACAACAGTTAATTCCAGTCCTCTATTTTGACAGGCCAAGCATTGATGATTTTCAGTACAATAGCAGTTTTGCTTGTGATATTGCTTAAACATTATACTAATTTAATTGAATGAATATTGACTATGTTTAAACATAACATAATTTAATCTTACCTTAGGGAAAGGGGTTCCTGTCATCCTGCAATGAAATGTTGCACTCATTCCCTCCCTGAGTCTGTAGCTTTTAACTGGAGTATTAAAGACTGGAGAAATAGCATCATGTTCAGAAACACTCATATCCAACTGCTCCCCATCCTCAGTCACCAGCTCCTGGTAAGTAATCTTGAGCAGGTGGAACTCAATTTCTTGGATGAATCTCTGCTCCAAGTTAGATATTTGTAACTCCTGTAAAAAAATGCCATTGTAAGATCCATACTCACACTTTGTGGATTCAGAAGTTGGTTTCAGGATGTATAATCTTAAAATAAGGTTTAGCAGCTTAAAATCTTTCATACCTGCTCTGAAATGAAGGACTGCATCATCTGGGTTTGTTGAGCCATCCTCCTCTGCATGAGCATCTGCTCTTTCTCAGTTACAGTCTCAACAACAGCAGGTATGTCAGCCACTTTTGGCTCCTCTACAATAGTAGTAATTTCTGTCTTGAATGTCTCTTCCTGTTTCTTCATATACAGCTCATATGCCTCTGTAAAATGCAGAAAAACACTATTGACATTTTAACTAATGTACTATTGCCATTTATAATAAAGTCACCCAGAAAACCAACCTTCATCAAGTAGCTTGGCTGAAGCAGAAATCTCTCCAAGTGGGTTTCTAGCAAAGATGGTGTACTCTCCTGCCTTCATCAAGTAGCTTGGCTGAAGCAGAAATCTCTCCAAGTGGGTTTCTAGCAAAGATGGTGTACTCTCCTGCATCATCAGCAAATGTCATGGAGATCTCAAGCTTGCATGCTCCTGTGTCCTTATTGTAGGCTACTCTGTACCTAGAAGATGCATGAGTTTATTAAATATTATATAAATTTTAAATTTAGTTTTTATAATATCTTGATAAATGTTTCTCATATATATATATATATATATATAAAAACATTTATAAACATTTATTTATTTATCTTTATTTATTTTACCTTTTTTTTTACTGTGATTTGTTATTGTTACAATCTCGTCACTACTTGTTTTTTGTATGTAAACACAATCATGCCAATAAAGTATATATTTGCATCATAGAAAATGAATTAAAGCAGAAGAAAAGACATTCAAAAAAATGAAAACGCAGTCACAACAGACATAAAACTAGCACAAAATATAATTTGTTTATCCACTTATTTATTATAAACAAGTCTCAGTACTTTTTACTCACAGAAATGAAAAAGTATGGTAAAAATGAGTGTATATATGTACAGTATAAAACATACCTGTATCCAGTAGTAAGTGGGATTCCACTCTTCTTCCAGAAAATATGTGGCTTGGGGCTTCCTCCGACTTGGCACTCAAAGACTATGCTGTCTCCCTCCACAAGCTTTTGCACTGTGGGTTTCTTCACAAAGAATGGGGCAACACCAGCTCCAGCCTCCACAGACTCAGAGACGGCACTTATTTCAGACATGGTCTCCTCTTTGGCTTCAACTGTAACCCTGTTTTTAAAACACCAAGGATTCAGATTGCAAATATTATACTATTTAATATAGTATTACACCACAAAGAGTTCCATGAACTTACTGTCTTTCCTGAGCAGACATTTCAATGTGTTCAGAGAAAGTAGAAAAATCCTCCCGGCTTTCAATGTCTTCTGACACTGAAGATGAAAAATTAACTGTAAAAATCAGGCTGCAATCACACAGATCATATCATTTTAAGACAAGTCAAATCTCATGATCTGTTACCTTTGACAAGCAGGTAGCATGAGGTGCTGATAGTTCCAGCCTCACTGGTAGCAGTGCAAGTGAAGCGGCCACTATCTTCAGCAAAGGCCTCACGGATCACCAAGCGGGCATAGCTGTTTTCATAAGTGATCTGGAAGTCAATTGAGTTCTCAATTCTATAATCCTCTCTAAACCACATGATGGCTGGGGTAGGGTGGCCTGAAATCTGGCACTCCAGAGTGATAGACTCTCCCTCTGTGACAGTCACATTCTTCAAACCCTGGACAAAGTTAAAACAGAATTTCAAAATCTAAGTAAATATTTTAACCTTACAAGATATCTGACACATATTAAAATATTTAAAATTAAAGGTGTACTCTGTAATTTACACTAGCCAAAACAGTAGTTATGTTGGACTAACACTAATACTTTCATGTGTACATAAGCTTTCAATGAGGAAAAATTACTGAGTGCTCATTTACTCACAGCCACAATAGTTGGCGGCATCACTTGTTCTTTTGTGAGGGATGGGATTGCTGCAGTCTCAACAATCTGGATTTCAAAAAGAAACAATCAAATGTAAAAATTATTCAGTTATTATTATTATTATCTTTCTTGCAGCTTTTTTATTCATGCTTTTTCAGGCTTGTGGGGTTGAAATTGAAATGAAATGAAAATATATATTTAAACCTGAATTGTAATTGATTAATATTTAGTAAAATAATAATAAATGACATAAAAATACACTAATGATCAATGTGAGGTTGATTCCTAGGATTAAAGTACAAGAATATTTAGTTTGTACACTGGTAAAATAGTTTCATGCCAGAACAGTGACCAATTTTTGGCACCCTTATATTATCATTCTATTATAAAACCATCACGTGACACAAGCATTCTCTAGAGATCGGCATCTGTGCACATCCATCAGTCAGTGGTGAATTACACCAACTAAATCAGTCTCACTTTTACCTGCTATTCTTTTATTGACAAAACAGGACATTTTCAGTTATCTGTTCCACATTCATGTACATATAGTTTGTGTTTATATTGCATTTTTATATTTTACATTTTTTGCAGGCTTAAACTTGCATTAAAAAATGCATTCTCAAGGGGGTAAAATATCAAAAAAGGTTGGTGCAATAATTTATTTATTGAGGGACCCACCTGTTTGCATGTCATTATTCATGTCTACCTACCTATTCATGTCTACCTCTATTCAGGAGCTTCAATACAAACATAATGGATGTAATTCTGTGAATACTAAATCTTTCTAAAAATACAACTAATCAACTTCTAGAAACTCTTTTTCAATTTACACCTTCAGTCTACATAGACTCTAGACACAGACTTCTGTCTAAACAAGAAAAGAAACAACTGTAGGCATACACATTTTTCCCCACTTCAAGAGTAAGAAGCTGTAATTAAAATGGTGCACATAGAACAAATAACATCTGTGGTGATGCACATCACAAAAAAATAAGTTAACAGCAGATTTACTATGTAAGAAGTTATGTCTTTTCTGATGAAAGTGGTTAAATAGTATGCAACAATCAAAAATCTATTCAGATGGAAGAAAATCTTAATGAAAATGTATTGCCAATTGATGTTAAATATCAGTTAAATTATATTAAATCGGTTAAACAACAAAATGGCAAGTTGGTGAAACTTGCTGGGCTAACATGCACAATGAAGCGTGACTATTTAAGGTGTGACAACGAGGTGTGAAAATAATCATTGCTGCCCCCACTGGATCTGACATGGTTTCCTTTACACTTCAGGTTAACAGTAGTCTCATTAAAGGCACAATATGTAATTTTTGCCGCTAGAGGGCGCGTATTCAAAATAAACAAATAGACAAAGGCGTAGTTTGATGACGCCGTGACTGAGTGTGGAATCATGGGAGTTGTCGTCTTCATCCCCACAGCCGATGCAATCCAACGGGACTCGGGCAGAAATCATGTTCATGGATGAGCTAATGATTTATTAACGTAGTAGAATGAAGCAGGGTGAGGCTGAAAGCCGCCGAAGCGAAACGAGGCCGCTGAACGAGTGTGACACACGGCTCGAAAGCAGCGGAGCTTTTATTATGCCACAGTCGACCGCTTCCGCTCCTTCCGGTCGTGAGTATGTGGGGGAAAAAAGCAGCTCTGTTTTATCATACTAGATACATTTGAAAGTTCTGTTATAATGCTACTCTGTGTGGTCGTCACCGGTCTATTAAAACGCACAACATATTAAAGCGTCTTTGGTGTTTCCATGTTTTCTACAAAACAAAACGGAAATCGAAGGGTTATGACGTCATTAGCAGGTGACACAATGACACTATGGAAACGTCCGTGTCACTAGTTAAAATTGCTTATTTGGTCAATGACCACATACGATACAACATTGTTGTTTTTTGTTACATTTCTATTTAATGCATTTTTGTATTTCTTAATTAAAATGTAGTTCATTCATTCAAACTTCAAGTAATTAATATTTTTCCTTTCATGTTATCACAAAGACAAAATGCCACTTTTTACCCACTAGAGGTCATAGTTGCAAAAATAGACCTACTTGTTTGAAAGCGACTCCACTGGCTTGTTGCTGCATAGCAAAAGAACCTTCCCATTGCTGCTCCTTGTGGACAAATGTGGAGGAGGTCTGGACATATGAGGCCCCAGTAGTCATGCTGGTATAACTGGATTCTCCCACATAACCCTCCTGCTTCCATGGAGGCAGAATATCTGCAGCCTGTGTGACTTGTTTGAGTGTAGTCATTGGGGACTTGACTGGTCTGATAGGGGACACGGACAGTCTTGAAGGGGAAACAGGCCTAAAAATAAAACATAGGGGGAAAAAGAATTAACAAAGGATAAATGCTACATAAGAAAGATATTTAATGTATTGTAAAGTTAACATTGGTTACACAGAACATGAATTCATTACATCATCATTGCACTTAATTTTTCATAAGTGTGGGTGAGGGAACAAATTACTCTCCATTACATGTCACTATTGATCTCAGTTCATTTATTTAGAATATGTGCACTCATACAAGGTCTTAGTACATGTAAAGGTATCTACTAAAAAGTAGTGATAATGTTGAAAATATACTTCACCTGTGAGGTGTGTGAATGGGGGCTTTAACAGGCCTCACAGGGGAGGGTGACTGATGGCGCGTAGCTGCGACCTTTGACACTCCTGTCGGTGGGGTTGGGGACTTGGAGGTCGGCTTAGGAGGCACACGGGGTGGTGCCTTGTGGGCCAAATCACCATCCTCTATTTGCATTTCCATCATGGCTGTGGACTCAAATGATGCCTCCATTCTCTGTGAAGGACACATAACACTCAGTTAGCATGTTCTTTGGTGGTCAGCTTCAGGTGTGAATTTTTTTCAGGATGTTAACTACCTTTTCAACTCTAGCCTGGCGAGTCTGTGAAATCTGGGAAGTTGAAACAAAAGTCTTGGTCTTCTTTGCAGGCACTGCAACCTCCTTACCTGAAATTGAAAAATAATATTAAAAAGATACATACACACACACACACACACACACACACACACACACACACACACATGTATGTATATTGGCCTACCCTATATCAAAAAATATCAAGTGAAGTTATTTCATTTGGAAATCAAACCTTGAACCAGAAGTTCAGCTGTAGAGGTAGTACGTCCACTGCTGTTAGAAGCACTGACAGAATAAGTTCCAGAATCTTCTGGGAAGGCCTCGGCAATCAACAAACTGTAAAGGTCTCCGTCTTGAACAATCTGAAAGTCAGCAGAGCTCTGAATCTCAGCTCCCTCTCTGTAGAAATTCACCACAGGTGTAGGGATTCCTGTCACTCGAACATCCAGTCTCACTTGGCTTCCTTGTCTAACAGTCACACTCTGTAGTCTCTGAATGAAGTTTGGTGGCGCAGTTTCCGCTTTGAGGCAAACAAAAAAAAACAGTGTTTGTTTGGCACAAAAAGTAAATGACAGAAAAGTACACAGCTGTTTCTATGACTGCTTACCTGTAACCACCAGTTCAGGCCATCGCTGAACGAGATCTGAGCGCCGGGCAGAGCGGCAGCAGTAAGAACCTGGCCATCACGAAACCAGCTCACCTCTGGAACTGGACTACCTACAGAAAAATATTGGAAGAAATTATAAAATAATCAATTTTAGAACAGTGTTTTCCAATCATTTTGCCTTATATACCTCCACAGCCCGATCAGTAAAGCTCAGGTACCCTTTTATCAATGCCAAACATGCAATATGTATTTTTGTCCCACTTTTTTCTTCTGTTCTTACCACTAACTTGAGCCTTGAACGTTGCGGCACTACCCTCAAGTGCCACAACGCTCTGAAGCGGCTGTGTAAATGTTGGAGCTTGTGTTGACATGGCAGAAGGCACCCTAGGAAAAAAAAGATTCACATAGTGAATACCACATTACAGCCAGATATTTTCTTGATGCCCACTGAATCAATTATATATACAACAGCATTACAGTGTATGTTACATGACAAACTAGGTGGGCTATTTATATAGCTGTAAAAGAAATGAACTGACTAATCACTAACACCCCCTGCCCCCACCTGCACCTGGCCATCAGCAGCCTGTCATTTGTGAGAACTGTGAACGGTGGAGCTGTTGAGTGTCAGGTCAAGCACCCAATTGAATATGTTGGAAATGTGTGAACAGCAACTGTGAGCTGTAAGATAAGGCTATGAAACACCTAAATACATAAGTAACTTAACTAAAAAGTCCTGATCAACAAGATATTTCAACAGTAGAAACTGTGTAGCTGATGTTTCAAATTATCATTGGCTTACAAAAGAACATAGTGCTCAATTTGCGAGCTTCTGATGAAGCCCCCAAAAGCGAAACTAAATTAAACAATTCAGTAGCAAAATAGTTTGTATTATTACTGGTACTATACAAGAATTTAGTCAGAAATTAACATTTAAAAGCTCATTGAAAATATCAAGCAAGTCAACTATATATTTTTTAAGTAAAATAGCCAAGAGTTTTTAAAAATATATCTTAAAATGAAAATCTTTGCCTATAAATATATATTTTTTATGATTAAAGAAGAAAAAACGTGTGTGTGTGTGTGTGTGTGTGTGTGTATACATATAAAGATTTTCTTGCTATTGTAAACAATATTGTGCCAACCCATCTCAGGTTTAGGGTATCCAAAGTGATCTGCAAATGTGCATTTTGACATGTTGACAAGTACTTCACTCCAAAAGTATAATAATCCATAATGGTCTTGAAAAAAAATCTCAGTGACAAAATTTCCACTGAACAAAAAAACATACCAGCACACATACAAGCATTACAAAAAGCTTCACATGTGTATCATACAGATATTTCCCATACATAATGCAATATATAATTTGTCTTCACTGTCGCATCTCATATATAAAAAAAACTAAAACAATAAGATTATTAGATAATTACATATAAATAAAGATCAATACAGCGTAACACAAGAAATAAAGAAAGAAAGAAAGACAAAGAATTTACTCAGTTAAGCCATCTGCATCATTAGTCAAATGGAAGAAACCAACAGGTGAGAGCGGAAAAGCATTGCCCATAACATGACTCACAATCACAGAGTCAAACTATTTGTGTAATAAATATCAATAAAAAGAAATGTCAATACAAATTTAATTCCAACTAAATGGCATCAAGTATGAAGGCTGATATTCACTATGACAGAAATGGCAGTCTCCAAAAATAATCTGTCCCTTGTTTGATTGACAGTCACCATGTGGCACATAGCTGGCGGTGCAACTGATATCTCTGCTGCTGATTCCCTTAAAAAGACATCATGGCCCAGCTTGGTCACCACTCTAATGTTATCACAAGCTATTCTTGGCTATTCTGAAATCACTGCACCATTTAATAACCTTGAGCATTATTATGTTTTATAAAATTCTTGAAAAGTAACACAGACTGACTACTTGTAAAACCTCAAACAAATAGCACATTGCAAGCAACAGCACTTTTATTTTGCTTTAAAAAGGTGTGCAAGCATGTATCATTGTAGCTGATAAAAAGACTTGCTTTAATGACTGTGTTCTACAAAGTAAATGCCACTTACTTGTATCACAAGGCTGCCTACACTTGATGGGACTGTGCCCAGGTAGCTAGTGCCTCAGCAACAATCCTCTTATCCAAAATGTTTCCAGAAAATCCAAGGTGAGAACGGTTGGGCCCCGTTATAACCCAAAAAACAGAACTACACAGGGTCTAGACCGTGTAGTTTTGCTTTTCCCTTGCAATCCCTACACCCGAGGCAAGGCTGGGAATGCTCCAACTGCTCAGAACTGCTAACATAGTTGTTTTAGTTTATATACCTCGAGCCTAGTCTGCATCATCACTAACAAGCCACTCCCAAATTGGTCTCGGTGCACAAAGCATCATGGGAAAGTGATGCATTTTATGCAACTTCACACCTGTTACTCAGTGGTCCACCTCCACGAAGTTAATGCAAGCTTGATATTCCTCTCACTCTGGAGTTTCTTTACTACATTGAGTCTGTGGATTCGTTGTTCATGCAAGCAAATGATTATGCTCATGCCCCATTCAATGACATTGCAATGCTGAAAACCCTTATGGCAGGCATTAACCTGTTGATGACCAAAAGGAGAGACTGGCTGTCCCTGTCACTCAAAGGAAGGGCAAGGAAAGGCAACCCCCCACTGTAAGGGACAGATATACTGGTTACAGAATGCTTGCTAACTTGCCTATTTTTGACATTTGTTACACAATCATCCACATTTTTGAGTCTTGATGAACAAAACATCACATCTCACAACTTTGTTTCAATGGCCAGGTTAACGTTTAAAAGAAAAAAGCACATTCAAGCTCTAAAATGCATTGCTTTTGCAACAACAAGAGTTTGTAGCCACTGTTTGGGGTGTAAAATTCAACACCACTAAAAGCTCCTAAAAGTAATTTTACTCATTATACTTTAAAAGATTTTATGTCTTCATGTCCAAAACAGTTGGTGGCTTTTAATCTTTATCATAGTATGTTAAAGGTATTCTGGAACAGGATATTAAGAACACTTTTTTTTTCTCACATAAATGAACCCTAGCTGACACTAAAATGTACGTCTTTATAACAAGAATGACTCTCATTCTAAAATTAGCTCATTACAAAAGGGTAAATAAACATGCAGAAAGCAATATAACTTCCACATTCTCCTGACCTGGCCTCATTTATCCATGATACTGAAATACTGAAAAACCGATGATCCAGCCTGATTATTAAACCTTAAACATGAATAAACCTGATTATATTATAAAGCTATGTGATGAGACACGGACTACAATTAAAACTGAAAGCATTAGCCTCAGGCTAACATAAGCTTGCAGTTAGAGGAGCAAAATAATTGATAATCCATGCCAAGGAGGAGTGGGCTTTGATGACTATTTCATCACAATCACATTACAAGCTAAACCAAGAGGCCACCTCTCAAACATCAGTATACATCTTGCTTTAACTGTTTTTATCCTTTTACCATTTACCAGATTATTGCAAATGGTGAGCATCTCACAATTCAGATTAGCATCCTGGCCTCTCTAGCAGTGTTGGCACTTTGTGGAAAGTTGGTGGCTCTAAAATAGAGGAGTAAAAAAAACACATTAGTTGAATTAATTTTCCTTAAACATGAACCAAATATTACAAGATATTAAAAATAATCATAATAAACAAAATTATCTTAGCATTGTTCATTGTGATCATTGTTAACCATAAATTAAACAAAGACATAAGAAAGATCCATTTACTGTCTCACTTTTGGTCTAAAGTTCATGTGGACAGTACAGTATTGTATGAGATTGGATAATTGGTATGACTAACTATAATTTACATTTCTCTCAGTCACACTTGCTATAGTATGATGCATTTTTCATAGCTGATTTCACCAAAAATTAGCAATGGAAAGCAGCTTGCATATTTTACATATCTTGCAATGCATTTGCAGCAGACAAACACATGTGCACTTCGGCGAATGTAAATTTTAGGTAAAAATTCAAAGTGACAATAAAACAACAAAACTGGTGTTTTCTCCTCCCAAGCCAACTTCTTAGTTACAGTGGTAAACAGCTGCTACTAGTACTCCTGGTGGTACTCAAGTTGACGCAAACAGGCCCAGACGTATAATGTGAAAAGAGACTAGCGGTGGGATAAAACTCTGGTCCTAACCAATCAAACTAAGAATACCAACAAAGACTTTTAGAAACACACTCTGGTCAGGCTCTTAAACTTCATTACACAATGACAAGAAAATTAAAGCTGAAGTTAGCCATCACATTTTCTGTCATTTTATCAAATAGGGTGGAATGTTTTAGAGCATGATAAATAACAAACAATAGAATAAAACAATAATAGATATTTTAGTTCATTTTCCCACCAAAAATGTAAATTCTTGGAGAATGATGTAATTATGAAACTGGCTTGTGTTACTAAAAAAGATTATTACAAAAGGCTAGTAGGATAGAATGATATAGCAGGTACATGACAAACCAATACATTCATTACACAAGAAAACTCATTTCAGTTAGAGACAGAAAAAAAGAAGAAACATCTAAAAAATGTCTTAATAAATTGGTAGTTTTCACTTTAAAAATTGCAATGCACTGCATAGTTGGAATGATACAAGGACAGTTTATCTCTGGAACAGACTAGTAACTTTATGATGGACTACCATGTCCCCAATTAGACCCCTGAGTCATTTAGGGCTTAATGTCTGTAGGAAAAAAGCTAGACTGGCCAAAGCAATACAAGTGTGTGTGTCAGAAGGCCTGAAATCAAAATAGTGAACAGGCTGTGACAAAATAACTTTTCTGGACAAGCAGCAATAGAAACAACCACTGAGAGACAAAAAATCACAGCATGAATGTGATATACTGATAACCAATATTACTCATGTTAAAATTACCTGAGTAATGTGTCATGCTTTCTAGATAAACTAACTAATCCCAAATGCATGTATTTTACAGGCAGTTGTGGTGCGGAGATCCCAGGAACTAGAAATAGAGCAATGTTTCGTTGTTGCCAATAGATATTAAATTAAGTAATGCTATTATTTTACGGCTTTCATAGCTGTTAATATTCAAATAATGCCAAGATCTATGCAAATACATTACTAAACCATTTGCTGAAACTCCTGAAAACAAATGTAGGAAATGGAAAGTTGTGTTCCGCTCAGTGAGTGAGATTTTCTTGCTCTTTGTATGGCACATGCGTTTATTTTGGTAGTCCATCACTGTAGTATAAAGATGTGATTTAAACAGCAGCCATTTTCGTCTCCCTCTCCAGGAGCTGGCAATGGTATCATGTCTCCAAGAGGAAAGCTCATGTGTCACCGACGAACAGCTGCAGCCTTCTAAATTCAAGTTTGGGAAATTTAGAACTGTCACTCGTTTCTTTTCCTACAGTAAAAAAGGGAGGTGTTTTTCATACACAGGACTGTTACTAAATGTACTACAACTACAAATTGGTTTTAGGAGGAGAAAAAGTGATCAAATCTGGGATGAGGCCACCAAGAATGTTGTTGTGGACTCTGGAGCAGAGGGGGCCACTGCAGTGACTCATTACATGCAACACAAACATGAAGGCTTTTACTGGACCCTACGATTCCTGCCTGCGCTGCTGGTTTTGTGTCAAAATAAGGTCATTGCAGGGTTGTACCACCTGGGCAAGGCATTTAGTGATGGGGGTGACATAAACAGCTGCATCGACTAAGACAATCACTTCAGAGTTGCTACAGTGTGACTCTGGTCAAGTTATTTTATGACTAACTAAAGCAAAGTACAGTGAATGTCCAGAGTTTTTATAAATGAAGAAAGAAAAAAAACTTTTTTTTGTCCTGCATTGCATTAAGAAACATATTTATAGTCCAAAATAACAGCAGCAAAAACAACACTATAATGTTATTCCTTCCTAGCAAACACTCTCAAAAGAATCTCATCTTCTTCTGTCAAAATAGCATGCAGTGTCACCTGACAGGCAGCAGCAACTGCACCTCTTGGCTGTCAGCATGTTTATGCATGCATATTCAAAAGGTAGCTCCAGCAGCAGTAAATCAAGAGACCTGCCACTTGGGTCAATTAGAAAGCCGTTACACAAAAAGTTACCACATATGTTACGTCATGGCTATTACTTTAATTGGTTTAGTTACGTGTCATGTTTCTTTTTAACCTAAACAATAAAACATGCAGAAATTAAATAAATACAACAAAATAATACAATATATTTCATAATCATTCTCTTGATTTGTGTGGTCAGTCAAACATTTTTACATGTTTCTTGAGGAGCTGTACAACATACTAGGTGCCTCCTTGTGGACAAACCTTGGGTCAAATAAAAGACAATCACCTTGTCCACTTCTGTATTCCATAAATAGAACATCAAATCTCTCTCTCTCTCTCTCTCTATATATATATACAGTATATATATATATATATATATATATATATATATATATATATATATATATATAAAATCCAGAATATATAACACTGATGAGAAGTGGGTCTTTAATATTTAATATATTTTATTTGTCCTATTATTTGGGCAGTTTGTTTATTTTAAAAAGAGGATTTCACCTTAGCCTTTATTTGAAGGTTGTATTTTTAAATATTGCGCCATCAAGTGGTTAAATATGATAATAGCAGTGAAAACCAAGAAAAATTATCTGGTTTAAATGATACTTACCCCATTTTAAACAAAGAAAAAAAAAATGTCCACACACTGAAATTATAGCTCAATTATTACAGATGACTGAATTTACAGGGTCTTATAAAATCAAGCTAGCAACTAAAAAATTTTACTTACAAATGTACCCTTTTATCAGCTTCATCTCATCAAACATGTATCTTAGATTTTCTGAGTAGTCTAATGTGAATTCTGTTCTCACAAGCAAACATAACAGATTGTCTTGGAAAAGCTCCTCGCTACTTTCCCCACGGAACTCAATGAGGTATTTGAACGCATCCCTTTTACTCTTTTTGTGGGGATGTTAGGACATTAAATGACCAATGAGCACTAACGATATACTGTACAACATCAACACCAAGAAGTCACCAAGTGAATTGTGTTTACAGTCAAAGCGTACCTGATTATCTTCAAGGAGTGAATTGAAGGAGTTCCGGCCACTCCTTCCATAGCTCACAAGAGTTCATGCAGATGTGGTGTGTAATCAGCTAATTTATTTATAAACATTTGCTCCAGATGAATGGCTGT